CGGTGCGAGGTACACTCTGCTCACCGACAGTCTGATTCGCTGCCCACGTGAGCACATTTTGGTGTCCAATGAGTCTAGCAACAAATCCTCGTTGGATTTGTCACGACAAAAACGTTCTAACCTCCTCAACATTCGAGAAGTCAAGCAATGGCTCTACATGGCTCCCAAGCAGTGTTCCTCGAAAAATCATCTGAGAGCAAGAACAAATTCTACTCTAACGGTGCATTTATCCCCGTTCAACAACTCTGTCAATATTATATTACGAATTCTGTTTTTTTTTTCTGACCGTAACGAAGGAATCATTCGTGTGTTCATCACATCTTATGTTTGAACGCGGGGAAAGCCGAGGTGTCGAGATGCAGCCTTTGGCAGATATTATAATCTCTTTGTTTGCACATGCCCGTGTGAATCATATCGCGTGGCCCAAGTACAAGCTCAATAGGGTCATCAGTTCAATAATGTAATCTAAGTTCTTTTTCCTTCTCCGTCTCAACTCTCCAGTAAGCGAACCAACCCTGCTTCAATGACTAAACAATTCAAGAAGTTCCTACTTCTCCTAGCATCTCCATGCGCAGACAGATTTTCAGACAGAGGAGAAGTTTCGGGTAAGATTACAATCATTACTTGCAATGTCTCAAATCAAGGCTAAGATTTCAGAATAATTCAGGAAACTGGAGAATAGAATGTAAATAATTTATCACACTGAGGACGCAAGAATATACAACCTGCACCAATCTAGATCATGCAGCATTGGCGTCGAGAAAATGGTGAACAATCTTTTCTTCGGATACAGACGCTCGACGAAATTGCATTTGTGATGGAAAATCAGAAAGAGGGAATCTATCACTGCAACTTTGGGCCATGGTGAACGGTATCCTAAATTTTGCGACTGCAGTTTTTACTTGATTCTTAACTCTCATTCATTACTTGACGGTGTAAGCCTCGGAGGACATATAATGCTTTTAGCCGATCTCTGTCGACCTGTAACTTCTTGTGAATCGGACGGACATAAACCCCATTAAATCGATGTTTTCCGCAGAGTGGTCAGTGTGAGTGTAGGCATGGTTATTCTCACGAAAAGAGAAAAACAAACGATGAAGCAGAAGCTGCCGGTTCTTTCCTCGTGATCATCCGAGTCCGAAATAGTCTGGGCGCAAAGAATGTCTTACTTTGAAGACGAATATTGAATCAGCGCCCTTGATATCACTGGAAAGCAGGACGCATACACGCTGGATCCACAGGAATAATGCTCTTTCCAGCCTAGGGACCTTCGGTGCGTCGTTTGACAGTAGCGTTTTTTATTTCATTCGCACTCTTTAAGCTGGGGTGTTGTGTCCGTACTTGTGCTAATGGTCGAATGGTCCTGTTCGAGGTGTTCATGATTCTGATTGTGAACTGAACGTGAAGCTTGTTCACCTTATTGTTTTCACTCTTCCCTCCAACTCTTCTACACAGAGAGTAGAAAGTCAAGGTTCGTCTGCGCACGTTGTTGTGAGATCCACAATCCAGCGCTGGTCACGGAGTTGCTGGAACACTCCGCACAGAAGATTTACAGGTCTGGTTTTTCCTTGGGACTCTTCGGACTTGATTCATAGTTTTGTTTTGACTGCTTATGTCCCTCAACTCCCTCGGTCATCCGACTTCCATACTTGCACATCTGTCGTCTCTCTCCGTGGGAATACCGACTCCTGGAAAGTGCATCCACGACCGCCTCCCTGCTTGACTCCCGTCCCGGCAAGACATCAGACCAAGACGCCAGACCGGACGACTCTTGAAAGAATTCACTACTCTGTACATGGAGTACTTGGACTTGCCAAACCAGAGTTTAGAATTGCAGCCACTGACCGAATCGGCGCCTCACTTCCATTTCAGCTCGGACAAACATTATTCCGTGCTACGCATGAAGTTGTTCCTGCATCACTGGAACGCGTCAGCCATGCTCTAAGGTCTGATGTAGAAGAAGACCAAGTCGACAGGGCCATTCCAGAGTAGCATTGACCTCAACTCTTGGACAGGTACGTCGACTGCAGCTCAGTCAGGCCACGGCCATAATTGTTAAAGAAAGACTGCAAGGTCCTGTCCCAGTCGTGCAGTCACTAGCTTTGGCACTCAAAAGGAACTTTGGTACCCGCCTTTACGAAGATGTCGTTAGGCACTGGCCTCGTAGAGTTTTGTGAATGATAAACGGAGGTTTTCGATAAGATGTTTACGAGGCTTGTCAGGAGAACGGTGTATAGGTCAGCGAAACTACCAGCGAAGTATCGTTGGAGTGCTGGGTTCAGACATTGCTTTGAAAATTGGAAGGGGGAAAGTGGAAAGTAAAGGTTAAAAAGTCGGGGTTGTCATGAAAAAGTGTAGGCGGGAAGCAACGGACATTGTATGTTCATGATTCCGGTACGTTTCCTCACTACTCAAACCGTGGAGCTCCATGGCTGCTGGTTTCCAGTCTACTGCTGTTTCGAGGGAAATCTTTGACCCCTGCTGGACCTTATCCAGCAGAAGATCTGATATCGTCCAAGCTGAAACTGCCAGGTGCACGGATTCGTGGCCGAAGTTGGATGGAAGCCTTAAAATTCCAGCAAAGAAAGAACACTGTTTAACAAAGTCATGACTCGTGCGTGACCTTCTGGCTTCAGGCTGATCTTGCGGTAGTCAGTGGATTTGACTCGAGACAACAGGAAGATCAATGATACAAGCTCCAGAGTCTACCGGTGGTCAGAAGCCGAATGACCAGTTACCACTGCTATGGGTCCGGTCTGTCTGTCTGTTTGGTGAGCGCGTTCAGACCGCGTATGATTGTGGCGGCAGGCAGACTGCACCGCAAGCCCCCTCTGAGTTTCCATGCAAGTGTTGCGCTTTTTCATTGATTTTGGAACTCTTTGCGAGACTCTAGCTTTACACGTACAGTACATGCCTTCTTTAGCTTTTACACGTCCGTGATTCTTTCTTTCTTCGACCCCCAGCTGGGATGATCGACGTACCATCCAGCGCCTGAAGCCACCATCTCTGCCTTATTCTTTCTCCAGTGTAGTTCAGACGCCAAACGAGCCGGCAGAAGAGCAAACCTTCATTGCAGGCACGAGGCTGTTGCTGCTGCTGCTGTGGCTGCCGCATCTACTATTACAAATTTATGACTTCAAGGTCCCCGCTAAGACCATGATAGTTACAGAGTCTGGACTCAAATCCAGGAGATTGAATTATTTCCATTCCTTGATTTCCTACAAGTCATAACAGCCAGGCTCAAAACTAAGCAAGTGTATCAGATTGGATCGGCATCCCGTTAGGCCTGCCGTGCGGTCGGTCGAATGAGGAGAAAGAGAAATATGCAGCATAAACTGAAGTCCCCCTGAACTAAGGATGGGCACATCACGGACACGGTTGAGCTTCATATCTTCTTCAGATTGCGTCAGATAAATTCATGTTCTGTGACTTGGAGCCAAACGAGAAACCACTAGATTTCCAGGTCTCATCACTCTCGTGCTCTACTTCTCTCACCGTATTATTACCCCAGCTCGAAGACTGCCCACACTGCTTGCTTTGAGACCTTCTGCACCGACATCATACGACAAAGATTCGATGTGCGCCCAGGAGTGCTAGCCGCGTGTTCAGTGAGCCAATGATTGTGCACACGGTGCTCCTTCTTCCAGTTTATGTCCGTTGGAGGTCACAAGGTTGGAACAATTTTTTTTATTTTACTGTACTTTAACAAGAGAGTGCCGAGGGTAAAATAAGACAAAGAGGACGTGGAGACCCATCAACTTTTCTGTTATAACATACCAAAATTTCAGTGGCTTACCGGACATGTGGTCTAGACTTTGGCCGACAAGGGATCCTCCTTTGTCCTCCATTGTTCAGCTCGTTGAAGTTCAGGGATACAAATGTCATACGATGCACTGTATTGGGCAGCGAAGTTCAGTTACTTAATGTTATACCACTATAACGTTAAGATTGTTTTAGAAGTATAACAATCTTAATTCTTATACCACTATATGATTAAAATTTTTAGATCCATTTGGCACCCTCTAATACAAACATTTACATATTAATATGGAAAAAAACTTCTATGTGGTTTATGTCTATATTCATAGACTTGAACCTCTCTGAACACTGGAATACAGAGGAAAAAGGTGGTACTGAAAGTCTCTATTATTTGAGGTGGCAGTGCTGGAAATCCCTTGTCTACGTGGACTACAATATAAGTTTCTTGCGAAACACACATATTCCACGTTTTTTTTTTAGTTTCTTTTGTTGAAATATATGGTGTTTTCCGTCACCTTTTTTTGGTTTATGTGTAGCATACGACCTCACATAAGAAAAGAGATACTGCCAAGGTCAACGATTGATGAAGCATCTTAGAACTGCGTATGATTTTTGATTGAGTATCATATAAGAGAAAAGTTGTACGTGACCTGGCTCTCAAATACAAAGCATATGAGAAGGTCCTAGCTATCTCTATAATATGAGAGCTACATATTAATGAACCCTTTCAGATGGTAATATTCGACTGAAATCTTCATTTAATTCACTCGTAATGGTGTCTAGTTCCCAAAAACAAACAGACGTCAATTTTATGAGAGATTACACAAAGGATACCATACTATGAAAAATGAAATACTCTTACTTGTAGCACGTCTGGATCATTTTGTTAACGATTACTTTTAAAGATACATATAGACATACTTATAGTAAATTCAGAAAATTGTGTTATCTTATATATATAGTTACTTTTGTGGGTGAACATCCGTATAGATTTCTTTACCACATTAATTTGGATTTATAAGAGTTTATAATATATTTTACCAAGCTTTGTTATCAGATTTGGTCGGTTTAAAGCAAGCCTTTGATGCGTATATTTATAACTTTTGATATATGGCTTGGTTCTCTTGACCGACAAAAACAAATGACTTGGAAGAAAGGACATATACGCATTTAACATGTACAAACGCGTTTTGAAGAAAATTTAGAAAGACACTACGAAAAAGCTTATTTTCTACTTAGTGCCTCTCATAAGCTATCTTAAGCAGTAACCCAGATTCGTCGATACTACCTTTAGTAATTTTATGATATTGCTTTGTACTTTTTGGCCTTACCTAGTTTAGATCCGAAAATTTGAATACTGCAAATCGGTAGATGAAAAGTTATGGGGGCAAATGTACACGAGAGCCTTATGAAAACTATCATCAACTTTTGCAAAAGTTACTCCAATCATGGAAGACTTGAGCAGCGGGCAGAATATCTGAGCTGGCACCATAAAGCCAGGTCGGCTTTATCCGGTCTGATGTGGTTCACAGCCCAGTCCAGTCATTAGTCATGATTCTCATGACTCGTTTGTGGTGATGTCTACGTAGATGCCGACATGTCCATCTGGAGCATAAAGGGTGGTCAGATAATGAATCTACTGTCTAGTCAACGTCCAGGCTTTTTGGATATCCACTTGGGCCCCGTTACAATGTTTTCGGTTGATGTATCTGTGGGTTCAGCAAGTGGGTACGTACAGTACAAAGTTGGATAAAAGTGACATCTCAGATGAAATTAAATTAAAGATGCCTCGTCCGAAAAGAACACTCTTGCAATTGTTGGAAAGTCTGCAATGCTCTCTTTCCTGCGTTCCTGTCAAGATACTTGCCGTACCATCTACACACCAAATTTATGCTTTACGACAGCCAAACTTGACTCATGATTTTCATCTTTACCTGTTTTAACATTAAAAATCAATAAGCTTGCTGGGTTGTCCTATTCCCATGGGTCAATATCCACTAGGATATATTGTCGCAGTTGGCTGAATTTTGTGATGTTAATCTTTCATCTGAAGAAAATTCGACAGCATTTTAAATGTTTCAACATTGGAATGACGTGATAAGATTGTAATCATCATTGCGAAATATTGTATACATTTAAATGTGTGACCAAATATAGCAACAAAGTAAGGAACAATATATACCTGTTGTTAGGGCTTTTCATTCCTCATTAGTGCATATCAGAATTATATACACTCAGTGTAGAAAAATTTACCCATACAAGAACTAAAGTAAACCTGAGAGTTGTGATGATTATAAAAAGTTGAGCCGAGACGGAGAGAAACAACTGAACTTGTGTAAGAATATTTTTGACATTAGAGAAGTTTGCGATTATGATATGGGACTAAGATCTTGTTTTAATTACTAGATTTCTTCAGATCCACTAGAGCATCCTTAGTCCCCATGGGATAAAACAATAGAAAGTCTACAACATGGTCTGTCATCCTCGAACCTTGCAGGCTATTTTCTTCCGAAATCAATCAGGATTTCCACTATCTATATCTACTTTCTGCTCATTAATCGTCCGTGTGACCATATGTAATGGCGTTCAATGAATATCTGCAAACCACAAAAAATTTCGTCACGAAATTGTCACGCAACCCGAGCCATATGGAAGTTCTTATGCTCTGCTAGGAGCAAAATCGAACGGGAGGAAACAGAAGAAGGTATTGAACAAAAACCTGAAATCACGGCAAGAGGTCAGTGACCGTGAGTCACGTCGCATGGTCAAAATGCTGCGACACGCTGAAAGAGGCTTCTCCGGAGCTCGAAGCCTCGAATAACACAGATACTTACGGCGAGGAGTCAAAGTCCAACACGAACAGGACCTCAGAACGCAATTCGTCACCTGAGCCACTGGATCCAGGCTGGTCCCTGCTGGGATAAGAGCCGGCCCTGTTGCCCGCATATTACTTGGATCTCCGCTATTGTAGAGAGCATATCCAGAAACCAAAGGGTACCACTGTACCGTCGTCCCCAAATTGGACCAGTCCAGTGAAGCCATTCATTCTGTTTCGTACAGCCTAGCCCTTCACCGTTCGTGCCTTTCGCCGGTACACCAACCCGACGTAAAGCTGCTGCTGCTGCTGCTGCTGTCCTCTTCTCCCGATCCTCGATTCCTCGACCGGATGAAATGCCCGTTCGTTCAGTTCTGGCCCGTGGACGCTGGACTCTTCTCTTCTTCCTCCTCCTTCAACGGCCTGCAGTGCATGAGCCGATTATCACGACCGGAATCCGAATTTGTCATTGGGTCCAGCACGATCGGTGGTTTCTCCAATTTTCTAGCTGAGCTTTGTGTCTGGATCTATCTGGACTGATGTAGTAAACGTCGGTTATGAAGAGGGAGGCATATTTCATACAATGGTCAAAGTGGAAAATGTACCAATGTCGACATTACTTATACCCCGACATTTATTATAGCTGGCACCTTTTCAACTTCTCCCTTAATAGAGACCCAAGAGCATAAGATCTACATTGAATTTATTAACTGCATACTGTGGATATTTTTAATCCGGGTACTTTTCTAAAAGAGATGTGTATGCATGGATAGGGTGTAGGAGTTTAGGTGTGGAAGAACCCTCATCCAAGAGTCAGATCCATCTTTAAAACAGCTAAGCAAGATTTACAGCTAGATCCATTCGCTCGTTGAGAGAACCCAGCACACAGAGAACTAGAGGGCTGGAAAATTCAGGTTCGCTGTGCTGCAACATGTTGTCGATTCGAGGACCGAGTAGCAAATCAACATGCCACATGTATCACACCCTCCTGCTGTGACATCTCGAATCAGAAGCCATATGTCTCATTCTCTAAAACTATTGCAACGACTTTGGAACTTCTAAACCCAATGGAAAGGTCCGTTTCATCCCTGTACGGCTTGATGGGGTCCTCCCATCCTTGTTCGCTAGTCACTCGGGGCTCTAGCTCCGAGTGACTCTAGCTTTTGAAGGATAAGTATGGAAAGATAAAGACTTTGTTTGCATTGAAATGTGAGAGTTTAGGACAATCTGTCTTAGACCGCCCTACAACGGGACTGTCCTACCTTCAGCAAGGGGAACAAATTTTAGCATTTCTTGTGGCATTCTTCTTATTCACGTCAGCTTTACACAGAACATATGAAGATTGAATGAATGGACACCAATGATCTCGTGGAGATTAAATGTACATAGCACTTTTTGGAAAAGATTTTAACCCCTTACAGATTGTTAGAAAGTCTATGTTCTTAAACTTTAACAATATCATATGTACTTGGGGAGCAAGTTTGAATCATGTTCAGATTTTTGGAACTTTATAAGGGCCAATTCAGGAAGGCAGGCTGCATCACTTTCTACAAGGTACGTGACGAAAGCATATGGCAATTACGGATAGATCTGGTGCCGTGATCTCTTCGAGAACAATCTTCAATGTTGTCATTTAATTATCTACATCTGGGTTTTCTCTCACACATCTACTCACTAGCACGCCATGGACCTGAATCCCCCCTCCTCGTTCATTTTACCGCACGATTTTATCACGGACAACACAAGATAACATGTAAGATCTACACGCGAACCCGGCATCAGTACGAAACCATATCCACATCCCAAAGATACCGGGAAGAGGAAATTCGAATCGGGGACGGGAGGGAAGCACACGACGAAACCAGAGTCCAGAGGGTACACAATACTGGACATGTACCGGGTTCGGGTTCCATGCGGTCATCTCGTCTCGAGGATGCAGGCGGCGCAGACTTGCGTTGCATGGGAGGATGGAACGAGGCGAGACTCGAGAGCCTGCCAAACAGTTGACTCCGGAAGGGTCCACGACACTAGATAAGGTTAGCGACGTCACGAAGTTTGTCGCGTTGGATTTCCAGCCACCGCCGTCGATGTGGTGGGCATTCCACCGTCCGATTCACGTCGCTCTGCCATTCGAGGATCGTCGCCTCGTGACGGTCGTTGACTCTCACCCGAGCCACAGGCCCAGGCCCCCGGGCCCCCGACCTGACCCGACCCGACCCTGCCCGGAAGCAGGGCACGCTCCAGGGACGGAGCTGGAGCAGAGCGGACGGGACGTCCGTGCCGAGGCACGGAGACTGCATGCATGCACGAGAAGTGGGAGGACGCATGCAATCATGGCCGTCCGGAACGCGGTAGGAAAGGGGAGCCAGCTAATAAAGTGTGACACTTTGTTTGTGCCAGCCAGATTTGGCGAAACGTCGCAGTTTGTTTAATTTATATTGCGAGGAATCTCATCTAATCTCCACTCGCTCCCCATCCTTTTGCCCTGCGATTGATTCCTGGCATCGTATTTTACTTGTCGTCAGGAGTACCGAGGCCCTCTCAGCTCTCGCGGGTCCCATCCCAGTCATTCCACGCTATTTCACGAGCTGTGACTATAGTCACAGCTATATCATATTTATGGTTTGAGAGTGCTATGTCATACAGTACAGCTGTATGTATAATTTCAGTACAATACCCGTGGTATTATACACTGTATTATATAGCACTCCCAAACCATACCTTATATAATTGTTTAACAAAAAGTCCGTAGTGGATTCGCACAAGTGTTGCTAGCTTCGTACAATCGTGAGATTTCATATTTATAATAGACTCTACTTGAAATAGGTTACCAAAAAGATGCTATTGGGAGAAATTCGGAACATGTAAGAGGCAGGATCTAAACTTGAAAAGGACCTCATGGACGAGAATGAGTATGCGGGTGGTGGTAGCATTCATCGGGTTGATATACCCGAGAGCATTGACAGCAGTGTATCTTCAAGGCCGAGGAGGTGATGGACGAGGGCAACATCTACGAATGAGGTGGACTTTTGAGATTGTTGTATAATACATTTTGTATTATACTGAATTATACTTTGCACTACGCGAAGAATTCAATTATACAGATCCATAGCTGTGACTTCCCCCGCTTGAATCGAGCGAACCTGTGCTCCTTCTGCTCTGGTCTGTCATCCACTGCCGCGACCACTGGAGGGAATTCGTATCAGGGGAGGTTGGCGACGGACCGACGAGACTGATTTCAGCTGGCCCGTAATGAGTTCATACACCTCGTTCTAGACCAGCTGTTGTGAGACCTTCCTCCGCAGCTGAGAGGTAGTACCTGGAGATGAACATGGAGAGGTGAGTCCATCCTCATTAGCTGCATCCTTCGAGTATTGTGCAGGGGTTTTTGTTACGCACGAGCGTGGAGTCGTGGATTGATGTGGCATTGATGACTACTGTGGTGCGGTGACAAAAGCAGTCACCGCACCAATGTGATGTTTCTTTGTGTGTTTTGTACGTACTTTTATTTCGGTGGTTTTGATGCTTTTGGTGCACTATGACATATATTAGATTCAAATCTAGTACATAGTACACCATTGATTTCATCCATGTAAATTTGGAGGTTATCTTCGTTTGCTACATTTATTGGTTTTTTTATTAATTGGATATGAAACCTTGTGATTTTTCATGACAAGACATACATTCGAAAATTATAGGACTAGATTCTCATTAAGCAACCAAGATGAATTAAAACGCATCTGGAATAATTTACTTGAATTCAACCGTATTCTTTTGAATAAAAAGAGTATAGTTGCTACCTCAATGTTCTGTATAACTTGTAAAGAAGTTGCAACAACATTCAACACAAGTGAAATTCACTTGCGTAACTTCTATTTCTTAGATGTTATACATTGTGTATCAAAATCTAATTTATTAATTTATAAATTGTAAATGAGATAATTTTGTAAATTCAAATTTTAAAGTCATAATTAATTAAAATAAAAATAAATTTTAAAATCTAATCAATTCAATTAGAAATTCATAATCATTATTTATCGAGTTTTCAAAATCATGAAATTTTATTATAAAGTATTATAAAATTCCAATGATACATATTTATCCTACGTCACAATTAACTTACATTGAAAAAATTCAAATTTTTCAGTTTCATATTGATCAGAAATTTAACATGCATAATTGATTTAAAAAAACTTTATTTTTTCCAAACTTAATTGATTGAAGTAAATTCCAAAAAATCATTAAAGTATTTTATTGCATATCTTTTTGTGATTTATTAACCTCAAAAAATTTAAATCCTTGGGGAAAAAATTAAAATAAGTATTAAAATATTTTTAAAATCAAAACCAATAACTTTTAAATTTCAATTTGACGTTCTGTTTAAATCAAGTTCAAACAAAAGATTAATTTAAAAAAATATCTGGCTATTTGAATTATCTTTTCATATTTAACTAAATGGTAACAACTTGGTCATTACAATAAAAAAACATATCATCAATATAATGTGCAAGTGATGTGAAGAATAATAGTACAAAAAATTGTGTAACATATAAGATAATTATGTAAAATGTATACCATTTATTTAAAAATATCATCATTGAAATTTAAAATAAAAGGTGATACATTTCACTAACAAAGATAAATTTTCATTACCAATAGAGATACTTTTTTTATTGGAAAAAGATTATCAATAAGGAATTTTAAGATAAATCATCAAATTATCATAGTATAACTTTAGCAAGATATGAAATACATGCTTATTTTTTAATTTTCAAAAATCAATGATATTCAATTCAACTAGAATGATTATGATTAGGACTTCGTATCTTATAATAATAGATGCATAATATGACTAATCTCAAATTTCAAGATGACTAATTTGAATAGTGTGTGGCAGAGTAGTTTACTTTGACATCAAGTTTACCTTTGTGAACACAATTCTTTCACATCTTGACAGAGACACAGATTATGTAACCTACATCATATATAAGTACATCATTGATGTCATAATCGGAGAAATGTTGATCTCAAAGATGTTGAAGGTCAAATCTGAGACAACGCCATGTGCCTGTTCATGTTCAATTTTGACACAAGTAATTAATTGTGACGATCAAAACTCCAATAGCATATCAGCTTGCAATCAAGTAAGTTGGCATTGTTGGCAAGTTGGTAAGTTGGTATCAATCTTCGGCAAACTGTGATGGCGCTTCAAGCAACAAAGTAGGTTGCAATGATCTTCAATCTTGGTAGAATAAAAATGATTTCAAGATCATTACATTTATTTGCATCCAATATAGTGCTTACTTCGGGGTCATTGCTAACATACTCTCCATGGTGTGGACTTTCTCAATTGTGCTGAATGGTTCCACTTGCATGGATACTTAATATATTGATGTTTGCATTGGTATTGTTTGGCACTGCCAACTTTTTAAGTTGCATCTCATTTCAATTCTATTTTACAGGTCTCATATTGATTTGTGACAGTTTGAAATCTTATGCAAATTATTTGACTATCTCTACTCCAACTAGAGGAATCAATTTATCGATGAATCGTTTGAAGGAGCTCAAAACATGACTGATCATGTTGCTAATGTTATTACGCGGATGCAATAGTATTCATCGGAATGATTTATTTGTGTGTGATGTCCATCAATCAATTTGACATTCTCTTGTAGAAGTCATATCTAAAATTTGATAATGGTTTATGGTATGCAACACTAATATCTATAATTTTGCACTTGCAATGACAACAAAAGCTTATTTGCAAGATGAAGTCGACGTGTACTAAGACATCCATGACTTGATGACACACTATGTTTTATGCCACAAACAGACTTGATGATCATTGCCACGATATCAATATCCATTGTTTTGAAATTCCAGCAAGTCAGCCAATAACAGATAAATGTTCAACATTTGATCATTAAAAAACTATTTGCTATCTCTCATCTGCTATGTTGGGATTTTGGACAAATTCATTCATGCTATTTGCAACCATTGATCGGCTTCTTACATTAACATTACAGGCTGCATTAAAGATATTGATCACTTTGCTTTGAAGACGATCTACAGTCTCATTGAACCAATTTGACAATTCCTTCTTCGTAACATTGCGTTGCTTATTTTTGAAATTGTTGGCGAATTTTTGCAATTTATGAATCCGGCTCCAATAGCAACCTCGACTATACACCAATGTACATTTCATTAGTTCAAAAGGGTACACCAGTGTATTCTTTTGAACTAGTGAAGCTTCAAGGTCGTGATATCAGCCGTCTTATCATTCAACAGATGTATCATCTTGACAGTATTTGATATTTCTCCGATATTTACAAAATTGGATTCCAATTTGTAGAGCCTTGCACCATGTACAAGAATGTCCTAGCATGTTAGGAAGCCATCGATTATTGAGATCATTAGTGTTTGTCTGACGATGTGTGGACATTGCCCTATCTGTCAGACGGTTTCAATTTTTTTGTCAACTTTGTTTGCGGCATGGATTCACCATTCCTCAACACGGCGCCAGTCATTGAAATTGTTGATGTTGAAATTCTGAAAGTATGTTTTCAACCTGTCATTGATTGATTTTTCTCTGGAAGTATTTCTCCAATGCAAACAATAAGATATTTTGCGCACAATGAAGCAATGAAACATTTATATAATACTATCTATAAGTTTCTATCAAAGATGATGCCCTAATCTGATTATGGAGTTGAGCCTAATTTACTTCAGAAACACACTTTAGGCAGATGACTAATCTATATAGGCCTGATCATAATGCATTAATTTTGAAAGAAGTAAAAGTTTATTCATAAATAAATTTGCAAAAATCTATACATAACCTTGAGTTAGATTTTTGTATGGATTGTGAGATACATTAATTTTTATTACGTTCAAAAGATAGAAATTTGATAGCAAACAATTGGATGTATATATTATACAAAAAATAAAAAAGATGAGTATATATGAAAGCACATTGATGATTTGAAGATTTAAATCAGAAAATTTTTTTAGATTATCACAAAGTTATCTCTTCAATAATATATGCTATAATTTGTTGGTTATATAATTCTTATCATAGATGAGATGAATATTTAGTCTAAATATAGATGAGATGAATGTTATCACAATAAATTGTACAGATTTTTACAATGAAAATTTACATGAGATAATATATCACCTTCGAAAGAAATTTGAAAATAGTTGAATGCAGATTTTTGAAATAATTATAAATTGAAATAACTCAATAGGTTAAGAGTGAATGGTTGTACAAAAAATTGTACGGATTGTATTTGTACATGAAAATATATGAGTAATGAAATTACTAGACTTAAATTAAATAGAGTGAAATATAGTAAACTCAACAGTCTTTTTGATTTCTTAACTATTTAGTATCAATAGATATGAGAATCAACTAAGTTATCTGATTCAACTCTATCACATAACAACACTCAAGTGCTCAATGAAACACTTTGAAGTAAATCCAGTTCTTGCGAGTTTGAATACCTTATAATTGAAAGTCATGAGCTTGGTGTGGACGGACCCGGGGACTATCTTTGGAATGCTCCATGTTCATTCAAAAATCAACACAACAGCGTTGTAGGATTTTCTTTCCTTCTGTTGGACTATGGGAGAAGGATCCCAAGGTTGCAAGCACATCCATAATGAGTGTGTAGTCTCCTGCACTGCACACAGCTTTTATTTTTTACTCTGCTCATTCGAAAATGGAGGACATAATATGATGTTTCACAGTCTAGAACATTTTAAGCTTCTTTTATCTAACATTTGAAAATGCAATTGTAATGCTCATGTTTTAACACAGTTCAGATTTGTAAGGGAATCACACAGTTCTAGATTAAATTTCATTTATGTCATATTAACATGACGTGAAACTCAACCTACTGTACTTCTTCAATTAGATAAACTTGTGGGTAAGGAGAATATTTCTACTTTGTATCCCTCATGACATCATGAGGGATGCTCCATCTTCATCTGGAGCAATCGAAAAGCATCAGAAGAAGATCAACACTACTGCCTTCCAGCTCTTGAAACCACCAAAGTCAATTGAAATTAAAAGGGTAGTAGTTTTAGAAATGGTACTGCTGAAAGTGTTCAAAACTGAAGACTGGGTGTTGTTCTTGGACGTAAGAATTTCACAACCAGTTGGTGTTTCCCTCACCTTCTACAACCCATGAGAGTGATCTGCATGAACTTGAAGGCTAACATTACACATCGTTCGCATTTCGCATCGTTTGATCTTTGTCATAGACTTCAAGACTGTAGACGCGAACGATGCCATTTAAGTTTCCATGAGGCTACCCTTCCTTCCCGTTTCTAATAGCTCTGCTATCTATTACAGCTAAGATCTTAATCACATTTCCTAATTTGTTTGCTTTCAAGTTTTCATAGTACCAGTTTTTTACCTACGTTCTCATGCATTTACCTCCGTAAACAGATTAATAGACCTAATTACATTCCTTCGTTCTTAACCGATCTTATCCCATATCTTGAGATATGTAGACCTCCAAACCTGATACATTTCTCGATGTTTCGAGCAGAGTCTGCTTCTGGCATGAAGGACTACAATTTCTCTAGTTTGAAAGGTGGTGTGCCTACACAACGTGGGCCCGTTCGTTTACTCTCTAAGACTTATCACGATACGATGATGAGAGCATTTTAATGCATGCAGGGAAAACAGTATCAAGCATTGTTCATACCTCATTCGCTCGGACACATCATAATAGAGACTAACAGGGTACAGTCATAATTGATTGCTTCTAGCACATAAAGTCTAGAATACGTTCACACAAGTTATCAAGTGTTCTTCTCTTCAAAATTGCCCCAAATCTCTGAAGAACTTCTGGATGCACATCATTGCACCTAGATGTTCTCGCCCCCTACAAAAAGTTGAGATAAATTCTTACACAACAAAACGAACTGTACTAGAGTTCTGAACTAGACTAAATCCTACTTTCGCTCATGTGACAAACAAAGCAGGAAACTTCTCAAACTTTGATGATAACTTGGATATAATATAATAAAACGTGTTACGCCTGTACATGATTCTAACTCTGCTAACAGATTTCACTACACAGATCTATAAATTCTAAATGAATTTTACTACAATAAATTCGACAAAGACCGGCAGGATCTGCACATTCTCATGTCTACTGAAGGAGATAAGGCGCTGAGAACTAAAGGGTTGACAAATGGCATGAGATGAGGATTTCCTCGTGACGAACTTCCTTCGCAGATTTTGTACTGGGCAGATCTTTTCTGCATAGCCAATCCCAACATCAACAACAAATATCTCAGAATCCTTCTGAAGTCCTGCATTCTTTGTATGTGTTATAACTATGCCTGTCCGACAAGTGAGGTCTGAAATACTTGATGAGTACCTGTTTTCTGACATGACCATGACTTCAAGTTGAACAACCAATACCCTCTCTGGAACATGGGTTTTTCCTGTTCCTTGCATGCAAAGGCTCCCAATTGAATCACTCTGATTCATTCTTCCAAATATGAGCCAAAGCTTAGCAATATCAGGAAATTGCACTCTTGACTCCTGTTCTGTCGAATCCTTTCCAAGTAGTCATGAGACTCTGACACGTAAGATATAGCCAGATCTACAGTTGATCGTTCGGAATCTACCTCGTCTACTTATTCCGCATGCGTTCGATGTTTCCAGGATGCCGGTCGAAACCTTCCCACTTGTATCGTAAAAGCTTTTCCTGACATAAAGTAGAGGCCGGCTTCAAATTTAGATCCTTTGGCACCCTCAGCTGCACCTTTAACCTCAGGAATGCACAGGCATCCCATGCTTCAAGAGTGTCTCTGCAATGACGTCCCTTGCTTTTTGACATAACTCATCCGGGTTATTCCCTCGTATCGGTGGGTGCACAACGATCTTCACTTTTCCGGGTCTCAACGTGTCTTCTAAACCGTTTGGCATCAGCCTTCCTGTGCCTATTAAACTAATTGGAACCACCGGAACCTTCCCCTTACTTGCAATTGAGAATGCACCTTTCTGCATTGACAAGGAAAAAAGTTGTTTCAGCAGTACGATCTTCCGATTAAATGGAGCGCAGAACGCTAAGCCAAATCATGGGTACGGGTCGAAAGCTGCTAGGACATTAAAAAGTAAGACGATATGTTTTCTCGAAACCATGCCATAGTACTATATTTTTCTGTCCGATGTTTACCAAGCATCAAATCCTTTGATTGTGAATAGGCTAGTCCGTGAAATGGGAAAATCGAGAACTACAGAAGTCTGTACAACGCTCTTGGTTATGAATGGGACACATAAGACGGTTGAAAATTGCAGTAGTGAAGCATATGATTACCTTGAATGCAGCCATTTTCCCATCAGAACTACGGGTTCCTTCAGGGAAAAAAAGAACAGGGACTCCATTCTTTACAAGATCGAGACACTTCTTTAAACATTCCTGCAAGGATTAAAAAGCGCATATCGGAGTCAGCTCAATTCACCATGTTTGAGGCTCACCTCACATGTCATGCGGGCGCATAGGAGTCGCATCTGACCTCCATGTACCATGAACTACAACCACAATGTATCCTACTTCAACTAGAGAGAAATGGGAAATTGTGATTATTCTTATTCTCGTTCATGCCACCCTCCTTCATAATAGACAACATTCATCTCTTGTCCATTACAATTTGGGTCATCCTGATAAAAAGTTGAATCAGCAGTTGCTTCAATATCATATCAAGAAAACGAAGTACTTACCAGCTGACTACGTTTGTCCATCCGTCTGAGTGGAACATGGCCAGTAAGATACATCGACCAGCCTATGATAGGAATCAGAAAGTTGCTTGTTTTGCTGATGAACTTGAATGATCTTCCGAGCATAAAAAGGGTGTAGATATCCAAAAAACTTTGATGGTTGGCAACATACACTGCAGCTTCGTTAGGTCCTGGAAGGTTTTCCAAGCCCTCTATTTCAACCTTGTAAAACAGTGAAGTTGTCAAGGTGGCCCATATTCTATTGACAAAATGATGAGCTGTCCGCCGTTGTTTGTCGAAAAGGAGTACGAATGGCTGCAGTACAGCCATGACGGCAAATAGAGGTACAGCTAGGACATACGTCCACAAGTAGAAGCAAAGAGCCCGAAGTTTCAAAGGTAGACTTTTATCTGAGACACATTTCAACGCAAAAGATCACATTAAAATTGGTGGATTGGCATCGTCGTTTACGCTTCAAAAGCACTCTTCAGGATTTTTACAATCATTAAAAATGTCCGTTACTAACAATTACACTACATATAAGTTCCAATAAAAGTAAGATACATCTGAGACCTACCAGTGAAGTTTGGCAAGTAGTCGTGAATCCTTGAGGATGATTCATCAGGTACAGCTGCACCTGCCACCTGACATCTGACTCCTAATTGAGAGGCACTCCTTTGGTGATACCTGGAGCGTGTGACCCCTAGCTTCAAAAAATTGATTCCTTCCCCAGATAAGAACTGAGTACTTTGGATAGCTGACATCTTTGGTGTCTTCTGTTTCAAACATAGTGCAGAGCCTGTACCACCAAAAAACCAAGAAGTACGAATCAGAAGCAATAAAAAAGGTCCTCCAAAAAATAATTTTGCAGACAATGTGAGTCTCACATATAACTTCAGGTACTCTCTGTATATCTGATTTCCAGTCAAGAGACAATAAAACAATTCCGAAGCGTTCGTTTAACTCTCAACTTGAAATCGATACTAAAAAAAGAAATAACAGACAGGCCAAAACTCTTCTTGTCCTGATCGACAAATGTGGTACAGGGGAAAGTACGAAGATCTGTTACATAAATTCTGCAAAATATCTTTAAGAGCGGAAAACAGTGCTTGGTCGTATTCAAAGCATAAGTACATTCAAATGAACTTTGCAGATCATCAGATGTTTTGCAGAGTTGTACATGACACTTTGGGAGTAATGATAGCGAAAGGTTCGCAGCAAAGTCTTGCTAATTATTATAGAAATTCACTGTTCAATTCGTACCCATGACAGGCTCTCAATGGACCCTTCGGCATTAAAAATCATCATTTGGCAGACTTAGAAAAGAGAGGCTAGAATGTTTGATGGGTTAAGGATGATAAACCATGTGGTCTTCCCATGGACCTGAGAAAGGATCGTCGGTTTCAGGTTCAACAGTTTTAACTAATCAATCTGAAGCCCACGATTGTCTACCAAATTCAGAACGACATCTGAGGTTCCAAGATGCTAAGAAGCTTTTAGAAAACTGCGAAGAGTTCAGAACAACAAACTCGGACTGTAGCTAAAGAGATCATTGTCTGAAAAAAACAAACACTGATGAACCTGTTCTCTTCGCTGGTAATAATCCTTCGACAATCCTGCGACAATTCATCTAATCGATTCTCGAAGAAGCCAAACAATGCAAACACTTTGATAAAAAATATAATACAAGCACGTCTGAGCTAGCTTGCAGCAAGCACAAGTTGAAAAGGATACGAGACGCATGGATCGAGAGATCTTCACAGACACAAAACAAGAAAAAGACGCACTAGAAAAAAGAAGCATCAAAATGGCAGGATAATTGCATTATCCACTCCAAACCGGTTAAGTTATATTTCCTACGAAACCACCCACAAGCCCCACAAAAACGTGAGGACTGCAAGTCATCATTATCATCATCTTAATTCCGGAAAGATCTCACGGTAAGTATTTCATTCAGAGGCATCCGGCGTGTAGCAACTAAAACCAAGGTCGTAACACTTGATTCATGTTGCGTGCGGGGTTTAGATAACCCCACAAGGCCTTCAGAACATAAGCAGGCTAAGAATACACTGTGCATACTGCATCCAGACTTGACCATGGACCAACAACTACAACCTGAAACGCTAAACGAGAATATATGAAATAAGGGTGATTTTTTTGAGAACTAAAACCCACTGCAGCTTTTGCGCCCTAAAAGGAAGGACAGTTTTACGCTCCCAGTAATTAGACTTGCAAGCATAAAACCGACTTCTTAATTTCACCAAACCTGCTCCTTGTGCCTCTGGACGTTGTACACAAACTGACGGAATGATTGGAGTGACAGTAAGATTTCCACCACCCTCAATCCTCACGTACTTTTCACACTGGTTTTCTGAATCTTTCAATAGACAATCCTCATTAAGACGAAACACGAGAAGCAGAGATGAATTCCTGCCTAATCTAGACGTGCTCAATCCACTTGTTTCGAACATGAAGACGCGAGAACCAGATAAGCAGGGGGTTTCAAGGCACGATGATTCGCACCTGTAGTCAAACGCGCACATGAAGGTGGGGCAATAGACCTCCTCGAAATGACACCACTCTTTGCGGCCAGAGGAGAGAACGGTAACGCGTGCACCATCATCGACGCCATCTTTGGGTCGCTCAGTCTATCAATCTGTAAATCAACTGCCTTTGGCAATTAAGCTCTTCCTCGTGCACAGACTTCTTCTTCTGATGCAATCCGGCCGACTGGTCCCGGCAAACACACACGTCAATCCGCCTCCCAATCTGCAATCTACTTACTACAAATCCACAAGAGGCGATTGGCACCACCGCCTCTTATCCTCCGTTGTCCAAAAACAGAGCGAACGACTTAGTTGTCCCCTCCTTAAACCTTTTCGAGCCACTTTCCTGAGGCCTCAGCAGACACGGAAACTTTCACGGACATAGACTCGTGCTCCCCCTACGACTGACACTAGTGCCACCACAGGGCGTCTCCCCGCATCATGGCTCGGGGACTGAACGAACTCGCGAGTCCCCACTGTCCACCTCCGGAGTCCACCACCTAAGTTTGAAGCCCGGATTCCACCACCTGCACGCCTCTCTCTCTCTCTCTCTCTCTCTCTCTCGTGACCGGGCCAGAGGAGGGGGCGGAAGAAGAAGAAGAAGCAGAGAAGGGAATATGCACTAATCCGGTCCGGACAGGCCTGTGGGGCCCAAGGGGAGCGGATGGCACACTCAGCCACTGGTGCTGCTGATGTCGCCGGGGGAGTAGCCCTCCAGTCACTCGAGAGTGAGGCCATGCTCGGCTGCATTCGGAAAGTTGCAATCTCTAATTTCGGCGCTATCCATCCTAAACCTGGCCTCTCAGATGGATAACGTCATCTGCTCTCCCGCAATTGCGGTTCCCTACTCGCCCTTCCGCGAATACGCTCGCGCAACTGTCAGTCGGTCGAATCGCACGCAATTAGACTCCCAGACGAAGGAGTGACCGAGCATCGTACCAAAAAGGATGCTGATGGGAACATCCATCGAGCCGCACGGGCATGCAATCCAAGGGGTAATATGGAGCTAGACTCCCAGAGGCAGACGCTTGCTTGCTGAGGGGTACGAATGCCAGGCCGGAGAGGGTGGGGGGGGGGGGGAAGATGGAACGGAGCGCTCGTGGCCAAGGGCGCCCGAGAGGGGCCATGGGAAGTCGGGGTTTTGGTTCGCTTGCCCGGGAACGGGTGACAGCTCGGATCGCCCTCAGCGCCAAATCGGATCGAAATCCCGCGGGGACGCCGGGGAGTGGTCGACTTGTCGGAGCTGAGCTGTAAAGTGGAGTGTGCTCAGCTTGTTTGTCTCCAGTTCGAGATTTTGGTGGGCACGCGGGAGCGTCTGATTAGAGACATCGAAGCTTTGCTCCCCATCTTCTGGCTCTCTCGCGACCGGCGATGGCCGGTTCCTTCACTTGTGACTCCACTCAAAACCAACCGCCTTGACCGTTGGGGGCTGTGTCGGCCTTCACGAGCTCCTCATCCTCATCCTGACCGACATCTGGCAGTGGCAGATGTCGAAGGTCGTTACCCTGGTGCACACTTCAGAGATACTGTACCTGAGGTTATTTGGCTGGATCTGGGCAAATTATCCCTCATTGTCTTTCCCTTGAATCTTATATACATGATAATTGCTGTTTATGCAATAGTTGGTACCTTAGCAAAAAACCACTTCGGAGTCAACACATCCAAATCAGATAATTACTGCAATGTCCAATAAAACTTAACACCAAACGAAAGAATTGATAACTTTTTTCCTTCACCTTCTGAAGAATTTTTTTTTTATCAAACTGTACTTCTCTACTTTTTCTTTCTCCACTTAACTCATATCTCCATATTATACTGTTGGTTGTTGAGATTTTGATATTGATGGTCTCCATCATATAATGTGTACCACTTAAAAGAAGAGACTGGAGACTATATGTTAGTTCAATTCTGACGAGCATTGAGCACATGCTTTAGACTTACAAGAATGTCCACCTGATGTAGATTTGTGACAAAGACAATGTGGGAAAGTTAATCTTCATGTGGAGGATACAATTCAGTACAAGATGAAATACAGGATGCATTGTACATGCAGCTTGAAACAAATCTCAGAATATAGAAATGACGGCTATCCACATAGATGTTGCTACCCTTAGATTATGTCAATTGGAAAGCTTCATTATCTTTTGGATTTCTCTTGCAAGGAGCCCATCATCACTCAAATATCAATCATGGAAGTGATGTCTAGTGCCGTTTGGCATATCAGTTTGCATAATCCATTCCCTCTTGGATCCTACACATTGTGTTGAATATAGAATATATGTTGTATGTCTTTGATTACTAACCTAAGAAGCTCTTTCAAAGTCTAAAACTTAGTATCTTGCAGTAAATACTCTTCATCTCCAGCTTCCTAAGACGAGGAATATCTTAGATCAATAGACAACTTAGTCATTCCATATTTGCTATTTGGGTTCAAAAATTTGTCAAACAATATTTAGACTCTATACGCAAACATATTTCTTCACGTAAATTGATAAGTTTAGTCATAAAAATTCATGTGATATTTAGTATATAGTATTATACCAATACTATAGTATATTGACCTTTGACCAATATACTAAGATTTTACTTTATACGTGTTTCAAAAAATTCATTCAAACATGATAAGGTTTAGAGCAAGCTGATCACTATGACATTTCTGTTATGAATCTTATGTATGTATATATATATATATATATATATATATATATCCTTTGTGAAAGAAAGTCAATTGTTTCACATAAGGTATTATAACCTACAATTTTTACAAATTATTATTTTTTAATTCTTTGTCCACTAATGAGACTCTAATACTAAAGTCTAGTTTCGTAGATTGGTATTTTTGGCATGCTTTACATCTTATTTCAAAATATCTCATCGCTCATAATCATAGGTTTTATGATCATGCATCTTCTTTTTGAATCTCACTAGCTAATATTTATTCATTAATGAGGATTCATTTTGAAAAGAAACATCAATCCACATCTTCATTAGTCACAACTAAGTGTATTATCACTTAAGATGCAACGAATATTCAGAGTTTTTTTGCCCGTTAAGAATTCAAAGAATATTTACAAATGATAAGTCCGTCCTATTGCAACAATATGATGCGAAAGAATGTATACTCATAAAAAAAGATAATAATTGTATGTCCTACAGTTAAATCAAATAATATGGCATTTCCATATTTGATTTGATACGTTTGACAGATGTGGTAGTTATCAATAACATATATGTGGCACATTAGAGGGATGATCAGTCATATGTTGAATGAGAAGCTATGGGAGATTAAAAATCCACAATCTCCAAGTATAAAAATATGTATATATATACACACAATAACTCACAAACATAAGCATATGTAGCTCCATGTAACATCAATGTTATGAAATTAAAACTTAATGTACCATACAATCATGTGATGTCATCGTTAAGATAATGTCTCAATGCAAAATCTCATCACGGTTAAAAAATGCATAGAAAAGAATTCACGTGTTGCACGTCAAAAGTGTCCGTTATCTGAGTTCGTGTTATTTTAAACTTGCTTATTACGTTTTGTAGATATTACGTTATATGGTTTTGTCTGAGTCTTTTCTCCTCTAAGATGAAAATACATGTGAAGAAAAAGGGGCTGGACAAGAGTTGCGAAAGTTATCCCAAATCAAAGGCGATGAAAGCTCTGTAATCGAAGGAATCCACCCGAATTCCACGCGAATTCCGTGCAGTTGCGTCTATTCTCCATGCGCCATTATACAGCATGCCGATTGTGAGTTGAATTGTCAACTGTCGGTAACTAGCGATTGGCGGCCGAGCATGCGTCCTCTGGTCTATTGCATCAAGTTGGACTAGTTCATCATCTATTCCATAGGTTACAGAAGTTGACGGTGACCGTTTCTTCCTCTAGACACTAAAGGTCTAACTGGACGGATCTGTGCCAAAGAATAGCATGGGTTAAGTTAGTTGGAATGTAAGTTGCAACTAACTTCCCTTAGTTCCTTAGACGTATACGATACTTTGCAACAATGTAATAAAAATAGCAATATCCTTTTAAATTGGTCAAGAATCGGTGATATCCAGAAACAGGTGGAAGCATGTTGTATTGCAGAGATTTCATCTTTGCAGGAATATTCAAGCGAACCTTTCATCAGCCTATTTAAAACATTATGTAGCACATTTTTACAATCACGATACTATCGGGTCTAGCCCGTAGTTTCAGATTATCTTCTTCCATTTCTCGCTTGATGTAGTTTTACCGCAGTTTTTATATATAGAATCAGTAGAGGGTGTTTGTGGAACTACGCTGCTAGGATTCTTCACGTGCGTCTGTTGCTTTTTTTGGGATGTTTTAAAATATATTTTTGTATCAGTGCAGTTACAGTACATAGAAATATGAGAATTTTCCTCGTGGGTTTTGTTCGGTGCTCGGAGGCTTGGTAGTCCTTTTTTATTACCTCCTTTGTGCTGAAGAAAACTTTACCTGCCCATTATGTTCTTATTTTCCAGAGCGTGTATCAAGCCAAAGACACTAGGCCCCACAATCATTCCATTGAGCGAAATCAAAGCAACCGAGTCAAGAATTGCAAGAGGAGCTGCCACTTGGAGTACCCAGCAAGGACTCGATCAATGTCGTGTAACTTTGCAATCTAGCGAACTGGAATTATATTCTGTCTTCCATCGTTTTCTTAAATTTGGCTAGGTGTTGTCAACACAGTAAAGTTACATTTCACTTTTCTCGGCTGACAAAGGCAACAGAATGTCCGCGCACCATTTCTCTGCACTGAATTTCAGTTGATTCGACACCTTGGAACTTTACAATATTCTTGATCTACTTGGGTATGTATGAGAAGCACATATGGAACAGAGCATATCACAGTGATTGCGATTGTTTTGAAATCTCCTCAGAGCATTGAAGTAGAAATCCCTTTTTAATTGAGACGGAAATGATAATTACAATATGGACCCAATTATTTACAACGGACTTGCTTTGGCTCCCTTCTTCACTCCTGATGTTAAGACGACGGACAGATTCTCCTCTTCCAAGCACCTAAAAATTCCATCTCCTCTGCAGCAAAGTGTCTTCGTCGCTCTGTCCTCATTCAAATTGCTTGCTCCACGAGAGGCTTTGATTAACTCCTGTTGCTCCTCAGGTGTTTTCCACTGGCAAGCTGTGACGGAAACCTTGTAGGTTTTGTCATGTCGCTAACATCTACATCTGGGGATTTCTCCCCGAAGAAAGGTTGTGCGTATTATCCTCCCAGTATAATAGGGGTCAGAGGATTTACGGCTCAAGCTCTAAAATACACTAGCCCATGAATTTACAACCACCCTAGTCGAGCGTGAGTATCCTGTTCATGATGGATGTCATCAGATCTAGAAATCAATAAACTGCCTGGATGTCCTAACGGATTGGTCTTACTCTAATCCCACGATGACCGTTTTTTCTCCAATTGGTGTTTACAATTGCATGAATGCCCGAACAGTGAGTTCTGAAGGCTTTCCAGACAGAAATCTGAAATTTGTGTATCGATGTGGCTCAGGATTCGTTGACCTATGTGTCAATTCGACCTGAAAGATCACGACGTAATCAGCAATTCATTCATTGAAAGCTCACGGACATGAACACGGTGACTTTCCACTGTACTACATACAACCACCTGCTATTACAGGCACCTCAACACAGAAGGCTCTGAAGGTTTGGAACTAACATAAATATCATGAAATTGTGACTTAAGGGGTCTGTTAACTCAGGTTTACTTACAGTTTCGGCATGTGTTACTCCGCTGTTGGGGTGCCTCTTGACCCGATAATTTCCCTGGTGCAGTCCATCGGCATGACCAGCAACACGACCCAAACAGCAACTATCAGTGACACAGAAAATGCTGGCAGGTTTATCCAATTCCTTCCAACGACAAATAGTGGACATCCAAATCTTCTAAACGTGGGGATAACAATCTTATACACTCCATGTCTCTGCATCTCGTCTGTCATGTGCGCCATGGAAAAGTGTGCAACCTGTGATATGGGAAATGGTTTGTTCTTATGGGTACGGTAGACTACGGTAGAAGGTTCGAGGTTCACAGTCGGGGTTAGCGACATCCACTGCCACTATTCCCCCATAGCTTCTTCGGGGTGGCACTGAGAGCAGGATATTGTTTCCGATCCTTTTCTCCGGCAGTGTCGAAGTGAGTGAGATGAGAGATACGATGGCAGGCGAAATAACCATCCCTCCGTCCAACATCCATGACTGGACTCCAACATCACCTCTCTAGCGTGTCTTAAACAGTCTTCAAAACTGACTAAGAGCACGAGGAGCTTGTCAATTGAGTCCAAGCCGTGGATGCTAGATGAGTGCCACAAACAACAAACTACGATAAGAATTTGCCGGTGCGTAAGAGTCAATGCTCTTGGCGGGGGCCAACTACATAAACTGCACTTGTGAGCGTTCCTATCATAGCCTGAAGACTGAAGACTGAAGACCCCAAGCCGTGGCAGAGGGGGCCGAACCTAATTAAAGTGGATATGGAATCTCTCCCTTTGCTGGTCCAATGATGTCATTGCAGCTGTGAATAAAAACTTCAAAACTAAACAGAGACGAGAGTAACTTCAAACAGACCAACACAGAAAACTCTTTGGGCCGCAGTTCGATCATTAAGCTCGTTGATAGGAAAGCAATTGCGCCATGGAAGTCCTCGCCAGTCTCTTCTCTACTCTCTGAGCACAGGAAAGATCACATCCATGATATCAGAGAGGTTGTGTGAGTACCGTGCTGGGTCTGAAGGTGGCTCTCAATTGAGCGCTGTCGTTTGATGTGAACGTGATTCGACATACCCAGTGCAGAATTCCCAAGGCTCCATCACCCTCACCCCCGACGCTGCTGGAATTGCAGCTCCTGTGACTGTGAGCAGCAGCGGGTGCCAAAGCCTTCTCTGCTCAGACTCGAAAGTAATTACACGAGGAGAGAGAGGAAAGGGAGTCGTCGTCCCAGTGGCATCGCTGCCTTGCATCTCTGGCTTCTCATCTCGTCTCATTTCTTGTCGAGAGGAAGAACAAAAGCGCACGAATGGGTTTCTCACCACTCCGTGGAGAAGAAGCTGCTGTTGATCAAACGCCTGCGAATCCGGGACAGAATTCTCACGATTTGCACGGAAATGACGCGTTGCAAACCGGGATTGACGACTTGCAGGAAAGAGAGAGCGCAGGCCAGCGAGAGAGTGAGGCGGAGGGAGCATAAGACGATCGGCCACGCGAGAACCATCCCAGCGACAAATTTCTGGCACCCGCGAGGCGAGGCCACCTGCAATTGCTTTCTTTCTCAGTTCGTCGGCGGAAAACTCCCAGCTCTGCCAGCAATTTCTTCGCGTCCTAATTCGACATATCTTGCTCCCCTCCCCTCCCTCCCTCCCTCCCTCCCTCCCTCCCTCTGGCGCTCTCGCTCTCTCCCCCGCGAGTCTGTGAGGCCGTGTCTGCGGTGGGAGGAGAAGGGAGCGAGGGTGTGGAGAAGTAGAAGCAGAAGCGGCCGAGAGGCGAAGGGTGCACAACACTAAACCGCGAGCGAGTGCATCACGTGCGGAGCACCCATCCACTTTTTTTTCAGCGATGCCTGCCCCCGCCCGTCACTTGTCTACATTGGCAATTTCGAGCTCTGCCTGCTGCTGCTTCTCTCAATTCAGCTTCCATACATGCCTTCCACTGGACGCAAAATCGATTCCGAGTTTCCACGTACGAGGAGTCCAGAATTGCTGTCTTCTCGGCGGTGCTCAGATTTCGGGCCAGTGAGGAGTGTCCGGGGGCAGTGGCGACAAGATGGACTCAAGAGAGTCGTCGTCGTCGTCGAGTCCATCCCCATCCCCTTGGAGCAGATTTCATGGACCCCCATCCATGCAGAGAGTCCCGTCCGTCTCACTGGATTCCTCTCGTCCCGCTTTCTGGCGACATTATGCTCTCCTTGAACCACGCCATCACTCCGTCTCTGAGGCACGCCTCGAGCTCGGCAATTAAATACGACTAAAATTTGGATTGAAGTTCATCCCGATGGAGTGCAAGCGTGGACGCCCACTTTTCGTATAGATTGGACCTTGTGTGGGGTATAATTAATCGTCGCTTACCTGGGACGACGATGGTGTGCGTGAGATGAGGAGCAGAATATTTTAATTCCTGGAGGTTCAGGACTCGCGGGCTTTCCCTGAAGGTCAGCGAGAGCGAGCTCGGTCTCAGAGGCAAGACCGTCTCAACACTCAGAGCCAAGCTCAGTCGTGCTCATGGTCCCGGACGAATTGAGCACCGGCATCTTTTGCCTTCCGAGGTATTGGGATGCGAGCGAGAGAGTGCTTGTGGTGCTCGTGTTGCAGTTTGTTTCGGACGCGAGGTCCACCGAATTTCTCATCACCTCAGAGGGGATTGCTGAGAGTGGAAGCGAAGCTGGTGGGATGATCGCTTCGTCACCCTTCTTCTTCTTCTTCAAACTGTCTCTGCTTAGCGAGACTTCAGGCCGTGCATCCATGATCTCTTCTTCGCCTGATCAAAATTGTCACACGATTGTATTTGGAAATCAGGTCCTCCCACGAATTCAAGCACGCAGGAACGCCTCCATATTCAATCTCCCCAGCGACTTTTTCGTTCTCAACTGCAACCAACATAGATTGAGTCGTCATGGCTCGAACGTCATGAATCCATCTCCCGGGACCAGACTCGATGGTCACGTGCTTCCAAGTGGGTGGAGGTGCAGCACAGATAGCAATTCACGACTTTTGAACCTTTCGATTGGTGAAATTCTCGAAGGCGTTCCAGCTGCTTTGCTGCATTCGGTTATGAGCATGATGACTCCACTTGTGTCTCGATCTAGTCTGTTCGTCTGTACTCGCGCTCTCAACTGCCGTCAAGATTCGAATAACCAAGGCACTCATATCAATCATTCAAGCCTGCTCGCAAAAGCATATTGGCAAAGGACATCTCTTCCTCTGAGCTTCTAGTCAACTAATCCTGAAACATGAAAATGGTGAGGATTCAAATTGAAACCTCGAGGGGATGACTCCGTGCGAGGTTTGCAGTTCTGTGCAGCAAAGATGGGATCGTAGCGAGCACAGGCACCAAAGTATATTCCTCGAGGTTTGGTAATCACTCATTCTCAGATAAGAACATTCTCGAGATATGGAACTCAATTTCATTGCAGTCTAAGCCACCACTGCCCGATTTATCTCTCCAGAAAGAGGAGACAACGGGACAGGGAATTCAAAAGCTTTTTCTTCCACCTGATTGCTCTCTGAGATACTTAATGGAAGCGTTTGAGGCTCGGATTCTGTAATCAAAGGGTTAGCTTAAGCCGAGTTTATGAGCCACGAGCCAAGTGTACCTACATGGCGTTCAACATGAAGGTCATTCGAAATCCCAGGACTGACAGGATTGGAGTCCTTGATACATATGTTGATGAGCGTGCACCAGATGAATATGAAATGATATTCATCTGGTGCACGCTAATTAACATATGTATCAAGGTTCGAAACATGTATCATATATGGCTAATAGGCTGGTGAAAATCAGCCTGTTAGCATCTATGAAAATCATCCAAGGCTGGTGAAATATATATGGCTTATAGGCTGGAGCCTATTAGCCATCGGAATCCCTTCTACCACCACCAACTACTATGATTCTGATATCCAGAATAGAATCCGAAGACTCTGTATACGGAACATTATCACCGTTCAAAGCTCGTGCCCTCAAACAACATCTTCTGCCCTTCCGTATCTCAAAATGAATTTAATGGTGAAGATTGTCTTGCTTTCACAATTTGGAATAAGTGATTCACAATTTTTTTAAAAGCAGGAAAAAACAACGAAAATTTTTCCGCTTATCTAATTATTACCTACACTAAAAATTTTCAAAGCTCTGTTCCATGATTGAGCTCCGAAAACACAGTTGTCACAAGGAAAGCTTGTCTCATAGACATATATTCAACACATAAAGTTCACACGCCATTGAACATATGTGGTTCTCCACAGCAAGCTACACAAACACTAAAGCTTTATTGGAAAAAACCCTCAATGATTTTTATCGAGAGCTTTTGTCAATTATTATACATAGTGGCAGTTTAACTAATTCTCATTAACGGGGCCAAGCTAGCCTGAGTTACCATAAGAACTTAGTTAACAAGAGTGAGTAAAACGATTTTTCTAATCTCTCATGCCAAAGTCCACCTAACTTTCTATGATCAATTTTCTGTAACATTTATGTTACAGAAAACACATTAGAAAACACATTCTTTACTCATAACAAAACACTCACTAAATTTTATCCAAGTAGTTTCTTCAATCCAATACAGCCAATGGATACGATATTTTAAATGTTGAGGGATGTAACAACTTTAGTTTCATTCAAAATATTTGAATGAATATGAATACTTTTTGATAGTAAAAAAATTAACTATATGTAAATCTTACACTTGATTCATATGATCATAATTGAGATTGGAAGCAATTGTAGGTCTTATTTATTAACTCTATTATCTCGTTGAACCAATAGCTTGCTGATGATCTTGCTATCACATATCTAGTTTCCATGTGAATATGATATTTCAAGCCCACAATCCTTGTCAAAACTTTCAAATTCATACCTTTATTTGACATCTTAATATCATGATTACTCTGATAAAATAGATGTGTTCAATGACACTTACAAGTTTGTATAAGATTTCGTAGATCATTTTGATTCTTCAACAAGGGATATAATCATCCGTTTTTATACCACCATGTTACGACTTCAAAAACTTTATCAATATCATTAGATTAGTACTTGATAAGCTGGATAAACTAACGATGGGGTTAATATATCTCTTGGTTTATCCACAAAACTCATCAATGTTATAGAAATGGTTAAAGTATATAATTATAGATCTTTATTCACAATATTATTATTTTTTATAAATACTTAGCACTCAATTATATATTGATAACAAAAAAATCTAAGAAAAGGATTGATTTGACATAGCCATAAATAATATGCACAACACTTGCGGGATTTAACAATATTTCAATCAATGATTTAACTTATCATGCACTTTTTATCATTTTTGCACAATCATCATTCAGCAAAAAAACATTGTCTAGAGTTTTGACGATGATTTTGGTAGATGAAAGTTCCAATAATTTATTTTGACTCAAAATCAAGAGAGAGAGAGAGAGAGTAAAAAAAATTAACTTAAAGCCAGAATTTAGATTGGATTAAGGAAATGACATAGATGACTACTACTTGCTTGCTCAACACATCATAAAGTCTGACTGGAATCTAAGAAGACATGTTCAGATTAAAACTTCACCATTCTTGATGAAAGTAATATCTAACAAACTTTTTATTTTTCATAATGCCCAAATGCCCTTGAGTTGTGCCATCAAAGTTGCTTGAGTTGAGGTTTAAAATAGTCAACAAAAGCACCTATATCAAATTTTGATTTTGTATTCTGCTTTTAAAAATTAATTAAAAATTTAGTTTTGCATGACATGTAGTTTTTTTCCTAGAGAGTTTAATTATGTTTGTTCAAAAGAGGTGTGTGGAAAGCCAAAAAAAATTTAGCGAAATGAAGAGGACATTAGATTTGTGAGATGCAATCCTATGTGCAAAAAGCTTGTCCATATGAATTGATTAGGAAAAGATGGATACAACTTGAACAAGGTTTTTACAAAACATGAGCTAGAGTGTGCACAATCATTAATAAAGAAGTATGGAGTAGTAGAAAATTTTCTTTTCTTGATTCATATGTATGGGCGTATGGAATGTTTGACTAGTGAAAATATAAGTACTAAATCACCTACAATTGGAAGGAGTTTGTTTGATGAACAATATAGCACAATTTACCTACCTTGCTTCAAAGAAATCTACCTTGAAGACAAAAACGCAAATCAATTCAAAACATTGATGCAGTTTGATGATCTCATCCGTAGTTTGCCGTGAAGTCTATCAAATCCCGGAGATGAGGCAAAGTTGAATATAAAGAAGAAATAACCATTCTATTATACGCTGAACGATAATTTTAGACAAAATAACGAAAAAAGATAGGTTGGCTGCTTCACATCACGGCATTGTGCAAAAGAATAATGTATTGCGGACAAAGATGGCATGTTATCAAAGAAGCTAGCATGGTTACATCTAACTTGTAACTCCGTCGAGCACTGGCATCCTGTTTTCTTTCAATTGAACAAATTACCATCCTTGTATGTCTGTACTTGTATCCTTGTATGTCACCAATCATACAAGGATGTTTGGGGTTGGTAGCCGTTGTAGGAAGGGTATGTGGAAGTCGTTTCTGCCGTGCACCATATTGAGTACCGATAGTAAGATTTAACCAGAGAGCAACAACAAACCCTAAATTCCAAGTCCAACCTGAGTAAATAAAATGCCCAATATTGGATTG